GTGTGCTACTGCGCTAAAGGTGAACTGGTCTGGAAAGGAATAGTTTTTTTGAACATAGGAGCGTTCGCCAAGTTGTAATTAGCTTCCCTTGCCAATACTTCGATCTTCTTAATAGTATTGTCACCGACACTTGCGAAAAAGCTGTTAAACTCATTAGCGACGGTCTTGTCGTCTTTGCTGTAATTCCATTTGGGATGCTGACTTCTTCGGTATGCATGATCGGATCGCTTTCCAAATGCTGTTGATGTTGTTTTTATAGTAAAACAAACAATTTTATATATTATATAGATTATAAATTATATTCAAACCAAATATCAATTTATTATTCTCCTGACATCACAATAGTCCATGGGCCAGGACCCCAAAAATTTGAAATTCTTACCACTCAGGGGGACAAGTGCTACCATACATTTTCTTAAACCTCAGTTCCTCTAATTCAATTTGATATATGATAGCAATGTCAGATGGGTAGCTAAAGTGGTAAAATCATGTGATGAAGTGACGTCATCAAAATCATCAGAAACGAACCAGAGACCCAAGATTGACTAATGAAGATGGCTGCTTTCATGTAAATTTTGAGCTTTTGAACAATTTAAACACAAAAGAAGCTACAATAAGATAATAATGGACAAATTTGGAAACGTTAATATCACTTGGTTTCCATGGCAACCACGATTTAATATGCACTAAAATACTACAAATAAATGCATTCCATGTAACTTGCATTTGTATTTTGAATGCATATCAAGTGCTTTACTTTCATGAATATTCAAAAAATAATATTTGCTATCGTATGGGTTTTGATTCTGCTTCATTCGACATATCGCGAGAAACGTTATGAGCAACCTTAAAAATACCTGAGTCACTTGCTCAAATGCACCAATATCATCACAGTTTGCAGACAAGTTAATGCATCTTAGAAAAACAACATATCTGAGTTGTGCAGTAATGTTGACATATATACTTATGTAACTTTAAAGGATGAAAAGATCGCCACTAGAAGGAAATGTTTAAGCTTCGTTTCTATAGCATAACACGTTAAAATAGTACATTATATTCAAATCTATTGCTCAATCGTCGTCAGAATCGGATTCATCTGTCAGCGAGTCCTCCTCGGCGACTTTTTCGCGCTGGTTTGCGCACTCTTGGAGCTTGCACAGCTGAGTACATCGCAAACCGTTCACGAGACAGGTGCAGCTTGGCAACTGGCAGACGCGCTTGCATTGGCAGGACAGGAGCTCAAGAACAGCGTTTGGTGCTGGTTCCCCACTCATCCAGTCGATGGTCAACTTGCCATCCTCTAGACACCATCCAAATCCGATGGGCGAGGGGATCTGGGGACAGCCCTGAAGACTCCTGCGCCAACATGCTGCCACGTAGTTTGTTCGGTCACAGTGCTTTCGAAGAGTGTCCTTGCATGGTGGTAGTTGGTTCGATTCTAATCCTCCTTTCTTCGTACAGAAGAGACGGTAGCGACGCACGTTGACATCATTTGTTCCAGGACTTGAGGAGTACAACAAACATGTGAATTCTTGAAGCCCTCGCGAACAACTCATCGGACACTTCCCAATCCATGCCAAGCTGCTGGAATACCTCTTTGAATGCAGGTTTTCTCTTTACTAGCTTCAAGGCGGTCAGTTTTCCTCCTTTGCCAGAAAAGGCGCTGACGCTATCGCACCTAGTGAACGCATGCAGTCCGGGAAGGCACCTACACAACCCCAAACCATGACGCTGGACAACATTGGTAATGCTGATGTATGTTGTACGAGTCTGCGTACCACACTTCAAATACATTGTAGCTGGAACGAAGGGCTTGAAAGCTAGACAGAGTACGAAAACATCGGTATCTTCTGATGATATCACAACGGTGCTGTAACCATTCTTTGCTGCACGAACTGCGTGGAGTAGACGTCTGGTGTCCGCTTCCTCTTGGGTTGACTTGAGGTCCTCTCTGAGCTTAGCACCACCATCTGGTGAAATCTCAGTGCACTTTTCCTCTGCCGTAGTGAAAAGCGTCTTCCCTGTTAGTCGTCGCAGGAACCTCTCCTTTTGCCATTCTTCGGTGACAAATCCAACTAGTTGCTTCTTATTTTGAGGGTTTGCTAAAAACTTCCTCCATTGCTGTACCTTATGATCTGGCTGAATATGCCTGTACTCGTTTCCTGAGTAACCTCCTCTCTTCTCTCTCTCGGTATTCTTGATTGATATTTCTCTATAAACATCAAAGACCACGTCGATCCGTTTAGCTGCTGCCCCTTCTCGTAAGATCATAGCCATCAGCGCATCCGCTATGTCAGTAAATGTCATATGGTCTCCTTTGAGTCTCTGGACCATGGCCATACCGTCAATGATACATGCCAATGGCTGTGGGATAGCTTCAACCGCTGGTAGATACTTCTGGAGCTCTTTCGCTAGTGTAGACTTGTTGGTCTTCCTTAGTGAGCCATCAGCACTGGCTAATGGTCAGGGAAGAGGTCCAAGTGGTGAGATAGCACAGAACTCATCGACAGCTTTCTTAGAACATATGGCTTTTCGAAGCTCTAGCGCAACTCGTCGAATTTCTTCCGTACTTGATGCTTTACACTGGCTTTGTTGCTGCTGTAAACATTATGCAAGCTCTTTGGCCAACTGAAGTCTTGACAGAGTTCCAGGGATGACAAACAATCTGCTGTTACCAAGCAGGTCTTCAAACTGTAACATACTTCCAAACTCTGCCTCAAGTTTTCGGCGAAGGTGCGTCTTGGTGGACTCTTTAGCCTCTGCCACGCCCAAATCTTCCATAAAACAGAGCATCGTACGAGTAAGATCTGTTAGCCTCACTAGTTTAAGTGTTTCAAGTATGTGCACTCTGACGTGATCAAATAGCATCTCATAAGCTGCAGACTCGATGCGAGTGTACGATTCTTCATCCTCGGATGTAGTGGAGGTGCTTGACTCCTTGTGCCAGGTGTACGCCTTGTAACAACTTCGGTGATAACAGCCCTCAGCTGCTACCAAGTCCCGGGACACTAGAGCTAATATCTTACCATCATTCTTAGCTGTCGCTATCCTTCTGATACTTTCATCTGCACGCAAATCCATACATTGAACCAGTTTTTCTCGAACATGCTGTCCTTTTGAATACTTACTAACCTTGTCACAAAAAATGCAAACACGGTTGTATATTGTGTTTTTCGTTGGAGGTTCACGCATAGACAATCTTCGTTCTGTTACAATGGACTCGTTGAACTTATTCGCATCTTTACATATCTTATCAAGATCTCTTTTCATTGTAAAAATACTGCGGCATTTGCGGTGATACTTGATGTCTGGGGGCTCTTCTCCTGTGACAGTCTTGGCGATATCTAGAATCGGAGTGTACTGTCGAATTTCCGCGGCCCTTAAAAGCGTTGTCCATGACTGGGTATCTTGCAATGATGACAGATCACCGGACGTTTCGGTGCAGTGTATTAAGCAGTTATCTCTTATTTCTACGCAAATACGTTTCTTGGCGGGTTCTTCCGATTCTATATTCACATTCCTCTTAGATTTATTTCCTAAAAATGAAAAAACACCGCTAATATGAAATTCCAGAAAGTAAACCACAGCATCACTGAACCAACACTCACATTTAGTAATTCGGCTGAAAATCATATTTGCCATTTGAATCTGACCCATACACTTTATAGATCCACCCATTTGCACTAATTATCGTAAAAGAAACACATATATACAATTCGTTGTCACTCAAGTATCCTTACAACAATATAAACCAGCAAATACACGCTCAATTCAGTACACGAACCTCGACAATCGAGTGCACATCTCGAATGCTGGTAAAGTTTTGTACGAATTTTTACCGAAAAAACACTTAAAAAAGCACTAATTTCGTAAAACTTTCTTTAAAATAGTTGTTCAAACCCTTTAATGAAAATATTTTCTATATATTTTGTATTAAAATGTCGGAAATCCGTCAAAAATAGCAAGGAAACACGACCAACAACGTACCTGAAAGATTGTCCGCCATCTTAGATTACCCATGATGCATTGCAAACATTGATGAAAGGGAATTTGTTCTAAAACGAGGTTTTAAAAGCGTTTTTTCGTTTTAGTCAGTAAAATCGAATGAAATAAAATATATTTTATCTTTGCATGCCTTCAAGAAGGCGTAGAAAGATTATCGTTCCTTTTTTAGGCTGGCTTTTCTTTTGAGCCTCGTTTTCACGCTAAAGCACATTTTTTGGCTTTTTGAAGTTAAAAATTATACCATAAAGCTACCCATTCAAAATTGCTATCATCAAAATTATTAAACAACTTGAGCCACTCTTCAAATTGACACTGGTCACCGTTTGTCCCCCGAAGTGGTAAGAAATTCTGGCCTGGCCCATGGACTACAAGTGCTGCCTGGTATTACAATGGTGTTGAAGTACAAATCTGAAGAGAAAACATAGCAGAGCATGTAATAATTTAACCATGGTCAGCTGGAGGGGAGATGGGCTTAAGTGGTAGACCAGTATAGTGGTACCTAGTATTAACCCACCTCAGAAGAGAACATATAATTAATTATTATGCTCTAGATCAAGGATAATTAATGAAAGGGATTTTCAACTTTTAAATAGATAACTATTTACTATGCTTTATTCTTTTATATATACCTCCCCTCCCCCATCCCCCCCTCCTCATTCCCCCAAAAGAAGCCCACCAAAAAACCTTTTTGAACAAATTACAGATATTAATAAAGCCCACGTACGGCTTATTATATAATAACTTTACAGTACACCCCCCTAAATGATGAATATAGCTCTGAAGACTTCAAAGTGAATTTTATGGGTGTATGTAAAACCAAAAAGACTCCCAAAACACCCAAAAATTACAAATACGAAGAAAATTAAAAATATGAAAAAAGGAAATAAAAAATAAATAAGATATTATATGGCTGAAGTGGTCCAAAAGGGGAAATGGAACATGTTTAGTGGTCTGAAATTTGCATTTAGTATATTTTTGGTGGCGGAAAATGCGGTGGCCTAATGGAGTAATGGTTAGCATGCTGGGCTCTGAGTGAGGACTGAGTGGTCTGGGTTTGAGCCCTGGCTGGGGTCAATGTGTTGTGTTCTTGGGAAAGATACTTTACTCTCAGTACCTCTCTCCACCCAGGAGTATAAATGAGTACCGGCGAAAAAATGCTCCAGGGTGGTAACCTGCGATGGACTATCATCCCAACCCAGGGGAGTTAAGGAATACTCCTAGTTGCTTCATGCTACAGAAACCGGGATAGGCTCTGGCAGTTGTGGGCCACTAGGCTCATGACGACTTTACCTTTTTTATATTTTTGGTGTTCCTGGGAGTTCCGGGGGTGTTGACCAGGGTGTTCTTGGTTTAACATACACCCAATTTTTAATCGCAGCGAGCCTATCAGTCGAAGCTGAGGTGTTCAGCCTGCCAGTCACAAATCCCAATGGACGACCAATGGTCTCATTTGATTGGTTAATTCACCCAGGTCTAATTATGTGCAATTATTCAGTATTGTCCATTTTGCAAATCCCACCAAAGTCATCTTCACGAGACTCGTTCAAGTTCTCGACAAACTCGGATAAATGGAAACAGGTGGCTCTTTTATCACAGGCTTGAGCTTTGCAGCAATTTCAGCTAGCCGCAAAATTTGAATTCTCAGCTGAATAGATATATTTGTTGTGCGCTCAATATTTATTATTTAGCTTGTTTTATTTAACATAAATCAATTAGTTGTTTGGATAAACCAACCCCAACTTTTCTCAACCGTTGTAGCTACGACCGTTGTTGTGCGACGTTTCGGCTTTCGCTACATGCCATTAATGAAAAAAAATAGCCAACAAAGCGCTTCAGAAGGGGTGTGTCCTTGCCTTTTATAGGCTCGCTCCATGTTTAAAAGATATACGGTATCCCTTCAATTTATGCTCTTCACTCTCACCTGTAAAATCCACTGTCTACAATCGAGACATCTATTATAAGACCATGACCTCCATCTATGAAAAACAAAAACAAATTATTAATACAACATTGTGCATGGGGAAATTCCTTAGTACTCCTATGCAGCCGTTATTTGTATCGTCACGCAACGCTTCTCCCCTCTAATGGCTACTCAAATTCTTTTTCTTTTGTTTTGATCATGACCACAGTAAATTTGACACCTATAGGCAAAAAGGTGACTGTTACCGTTTGCCGAAAACCTGCTAAATCGATCCAATTCTTGAACTAGGATGTCTGTTGTAATCCACCGTACGGAAAAAGAAGGCGGCTGTAAATTTTACCACGATACCTTGCGAACCTAACACAGCCAAAAAGGCACATAGAATGCCATATTGTTGCGAAATTCGCCCTTTAATAACAATATTGTGTATGCTAGGTTTGAAGTTTTCAGAACGTTTCTGTGCGTTTTGAGCGTTTTTAGGGTTTTTGGGCGCTAAGAATAATGGGAAAATGTACCAGTCGCCATCGTTTTCCGTACGGTGGATTATAATGAAGTTTTTTCAACATTATTTTTTCATAATCATACATTTCTCTTCAGTAAAACCATGTTTTATTTTGATGTCTGGTGTGCGTCAAATTAAAAAGGCAGCATACTGGCGTCCATTTGACGTTTCCGACGCTAAGGTCACGATAAGACAGAATCTATGATTGGTGTATTTGGGTACGAGCAAGTTCCGAAAAATATGGCACTTCAACTGTGGTTGGCTTAAATCGGGAAAGGAATGTGGTTCGGATTTGAGCAGCCGTTAGTGGGGAGAAGCGTTGCGAGACGACACAAATAACGGCTGCGTAGGAGACTACTATCATCCCAGTTCATCTAAATATACCTCGAATTGTAATATATATAGTCTATTTTAACGCACCTCAGCTCTTCTGTCCAAAATATAAAAAATTAAAACAAATCGCAAAATATTTTTCATAAAAATTGAAGGCCACAATTTGTTGTGATGATTTATAGCAAGCACTTAAACATTATATTTAAGTTCAGCACCCAGGTTTGACAGCATAGAAACATAAAATCGCCTGCAATCAAACGGAGCAATTCCGTTTCCCCTGGACAAGAAACAATATGGCAAGCGAAACATCGTATCGAAAAGAGAAGAGAAACAATTCACTAGCCACCTTTCCAGTATTTCATCAGTGAAAGCTGAAAGATTTCGTACTATTTTAGCCTAAAGAAAAGCTTGTGAAAATCGTTTGTTTGTTTACTGAGCTCAGCTTAGGGACTGAAAATTTCAATTCAAAGATGCAGAGCTTTTTTAGAAAAATAACTTTCAGTTCCATCAGATTTTTATTTTGGGCGAACGGCGCCCATAACGGGTTTCGGCTCTTGCATCAGTTTTCACGGGGTGAATACAACACATTACTAAACGTCTCCTAAAAAATAGGCAAAGGAAATATCCAAACATTGTATAGTTTATTGAAAAGAAGACACATTGGTTAATTGGTTAAATGGTTATTTAAACAATTTGAAAAGTTTTAGCTTATTTTGACGATTTTGGCAAGGCAAATTAAGCCTAAATTGATAGGTAAAAAAACCTAATTAGTACATGGCGTGGGGTTATAAAACTATAACCCAATGAAAGAGCAATGTTTCTTCTACAAATATATGTAATAAAATTTTTGGGCTACTGAAACTACGAAATTTGAGAACGCCAAACGAAAGTGCTCCCGAGGTCAAAAATTACCTTTCCGTATCACGAAATGCGGTAGCTAAAATACACAAGTCACACTGGAAAAATTCTAAGATAGATTTCCCTAAGTAGTTTGTGCTACTGTGGAAGGCTATAGCTATTCTTAGATAGATAACGTCTTGATTTCTGGTAAATTTGTGTAAAATCTTAGCTTTTAGAGGTTAATTTGCAGCCACTAAAATGTAATTATTTTCGGTCCGAAATTCACGAAATGAAAGGAATTTACGGCACGAGACTATTTCCATCTCTCTTCTATATATTAACAAAACCTATAATAAGTGAGACATAATATCGAACTATTTACAGTTAATAATGGCATCAGTACCTGTGAAGTCTTGGAATTGAAATGTAAGCGCCAACGGTGCTCAATGTTTGTGCTCCATGTTTGCCAGAATCAACAGAGATTGCGTTACACAATTCACGGATCCAACTTTATCGTTTGTGGGGGGTGGGGGGGGGGGGGAGTAATCATTACATGTATATATACGGTCGTGTTTTTTCGTAATATTTGTGAGAACAGATGTATCATATACCTTATTCTCACTTATTTTCGTGAGTATTTATTTTCGCGATGTCGCAAAAAACGCGAAAATAAAGAAAGACTTTGTGCCCTTTTTTCTCTGAAATCGCGAAAATAAAGCCTCGCGAAATACGGATCAGTCAATTTAGCCAAATAAGTACGCGCCGAAATCAGTGAGAATATTAAACGATAGACATTCATGGAGGGGTGAGTGGAAGTGACCAACGGCCCGTGGTTGTGGAAGCTCGAAGGTGAGTGGGTTTGGGACTTTTCAGAAACCGCCACTGGTATAAACAGTTCATTTCCGGTTTCGATTCATTCAACCATCAACCATGGCATCGTGTGGCTACTCTGCGTTTGTTGGAGGGGATGGAGCGTCCATATAAACGCGAGGGAGGTGATCGTTGGACATTTTGAAAAGAACTCCTAAAAGATTACAGAATTATTAGTTTATTTGCCACACAAAAATAGAAAAAATTACAATAATAATAATAGAAAAAGCAATTAACTAATACAGGAAGTGGCGTCACAACTAGTGTCACAACTAGTTTTGTTTTAGAATTGGTGCTTCATGGGCCCTATGAAGCACCAATTCTAAAGCAAAACTAGTTGCTGTCGTAGTTAAACTCTTACATTGGTCTCATTCGTGGTACCCACGAATTGACACCTAAAAGGTACGATGATTACCCCATCACTTTAACATGGGAGTCCTCCCCCCCCCCCCCCCCCCCCCCTCCCCGGGTTCCCACTGCTATAAAGGTTGCTGCTCAAACATGGAGATCAGCGGGGGTCAGGTTGTACAGACAGCTGTGCAAACATTGCGTTTACGATAGAGGACCTGGCTAGATCCCATAAATATTTTAGGTTCCCGTACAAAAATATAGAATGCATGCACAAACACTTATCGTGTCTAACTTTCAGGGATTTTTGAAGTTGATGAAAGTCATCTAAAAATGTCGGTGTGTCCAAGGCATCGAGATGCATTTGGACTTAGATGGCGCAGTAACAAAAAGTCTTGCACGTGTCCTTCAGACTGGGCTCACCACACAAGAAAAGAAATAAAAGGAGACCGTGGTATAACACTCCCACAATCGAACCTTCTTTATAGCGTCACCTCAGTGCTTGTTCCAGTTGCATCGCGTAGTACAATTATTTTTAAATCCGTCTCCGAGATATCGGGAAGCGCGAAGTCGCGAGCGGGAAAGAAAGAATCGGCGTTTCACAACTCCTACACGCTCCTAGCAATGTGCACGCTCGTTCTAGACTACAAAACAGTCCGTATTTAGCACGAGTTCGTTGGAACGCGGCGGCCCGAAAAGGATCTGGATTGAGCGTGAAAATGGCGAGTGGGTTTGGGGAGACGCCGGCCCCTCTCACCTTGTTCGGGGATCGTGAGGCTCGCGCGTGGATTATCGGCAATTCGCGGGGTCGCAAGGCTCGCGCGCGTATTATCGGCGCTTCGCGCCAAATATCTCGAGAAAAAGAGAGATTGTTTTACTATTCACAGTCATGTAATATTCATTATCCCGCGCGATGACGTATTAGGCATTATATAAGCTGAATTAAAATATGCAAAGTTGTCAGTTCGCAAAGAGTGTCAATGAACGAGGGTCAGAGTGATAACGCTGGAGCACGGCCGCTGCCGTTACGTCGACAGATTTACAGCAGGCCGTGCTCCCTCTGCAACTGCAACCGGTGTTACAAGCTGCTGGAAATGAAGCTCAAGTTGATGTATACGCAGGTCTTATTATCCCGCAGCAACGGAAAATTACGAAATTCTGGAAACTCTGGCGAGCCACGCCGGCGGAGCCTCAAGTTCTACTAACACTGCGGTGGAGTCATTACAGGTTCGTTTCCGCGGTACATGTATATTATTTATT